ATGATTTAAATGGTTTTGGTCGCGTGGACTGAAGAGTGAGTTTTGAATACTGCAAGACTTCACATTATTGAATTTTGAATTAGATAAGAACAAAGAGTATCTTTTTTTTTTTAAAGCCTTTTTTACAAAATCATGCCTCTAAAAATTAATTAATAAATTTATGGTATACATTGGTAATATTAATAAATTTGATTTTGGTATAAAGTGAGCGATTTTAGATTTTATTTGAATTATGTGATGGTCATTTTTTTGTAGGTAACGTGTTGTTATTGATATATGTCTGAATTTATGGTATAAATTGAACGATTTTATTTTTTTATGAAATGTTTGAATTTAAATATTTTGAATTTTATTTGGTATGAATAGAAGTGTATTTAGAAATTTTCAAAACAAAATAAGTGGTATGAAATTTATTTGGTATGAGTATAAAAGTAGAATTTTAGGTTAATAAAATTAGTATGTATTTCTCTCGAAAATGAGAAAGATATTTTGAACAAATGTTGGTTAATAAAATTTAAAATTTGTAACTTAATTCTAAAGAATTAGTTGATAAATTTGAACAATAAGGTAACCAACAACAAATCCAAAAAATTGAGAGGTAATGTGTGTATATATATATATATATATATATATATATATAAGAAAATTTATTGTGTAGTTCGAATGTAGGTTTTAAATTAAAGTCAAATAAGTAATTTAAGGGAATTTAATGTGTAATCCAATTTTGGGTTCGAAATTTAAAAGTTAAATAAATAATTATTCATAATTTATTGATCAATATTAATGTTATCACCCGACTCGGTAAAGCGTAATTAAGGACCTTAAACGGCGCTGTAAGCGAATTTGACTCAGACACAAATATAGCCTAAAGTCATCTCGGTTCGTGCAATAGACCGATACGACTCAAGAAGACCGAAGTGACTCATTCCTTCCGAGGTCATTCCAAACCGAGGTCAACATAAACCGAAATCGTCACCTCCTAAAGCAGGTGACAAGGCGCCTACACGCCCTCGTCACAATTTACGAGATATGTCATCATTCACGAGGGGCCCACTGACTCAACCGCCCGTCAAAAGTAATTTTTTCCAAAAATAACGCACGGATCCCAATATGTGTATCAAAAAAGGTTACTATAAATAGTTAGCCATTGATTTTTGTAAGGGATTCGATTCGGAACCCAACATTTTTACAATGAAACACGGAGCAGCCCATAAAGGCTTTTCACCTCGATCCACCTCGGACCGGGGCCACTGTTGAGTTTTTCTTGCATGTTTTACGTCCAAATCATTTGAAATCATCATATAAACTCCACATTACATCGTTGTTAAGAATCATACGACAACAATTAACTTGGACGTAAATACAATCGTTAATTATTTATAACTTAATAAATTATTCAACTACTTAAATTTTTTGATTTGAATAACTTATACAAATATAATTTCATATTAATTAAATAACAATATAAGTTATATTATATTTTAAATAAACATGTTTTTTTTATTTAATTTTAGACAATTTAATTTTATATAATATTCTCAATAAATTAATATTAATAGTTTATGTTACATATTAATTTCATATTTTTAATTAACAATATTGTTAATTTATAAAAATTAATAAATATCTATTGAATTGATACTAGTTTGAGGATTTTTTTTTACGTAAAAAAAAAAGTTAAGTTCTGGACAAAAAAAATACAAAAAAAAGAGGGAGTGAAACAAAATAAAAAGCACGTATTTTGTAAATACGTTTTCTGCACATTTTAATTGTAAAACGTATTTAGTGAATACGTTTTCTTTTGTAAAACGTTTTCACAAAATATGTTTTACAATGAAATTGTAAAGAAAACGTATTTTGTAAATACGTGGTTTTTATGCTGGTCCACTCCCCTTTTCTTTTCCACTTTTTTTTTTATTTTTAATATATAAATTACCCCTAGTTTGAGCCTAATGCAAATTTGCCCGCCTGAACTAAAAAAATAAATTAGTAAAAGAACCTTTACTCTCGTCTCTCTCTAACCCTATCTCTCTCTAAAAAAAAAAAAAAACTCAGATCTGCGCCGCTCGAGCCTCCTCTCCGGCTCCCCCCCACCCTAATCGTTGTCGACCTCCTTCTGATTTGCCCTGGTTCGTTGTCTGAGTTCCGGCAGCTTGCGGCTTCTCTCTCCGCGTCGTGGATTTTGACCGTTCCGGTTTGCCATGGCGGGATTTCGAGGGTTGGAAGGTCTGTTTCTCTTGAAGCGATGGTCGTTTCTGGCAGCTTTCCAGTAGTCAGGGCGATGGACTGAACTTGGGCTCCCCTTTATTCGGCCTTCTCTGGTGTTGGGAAGGTCGTTTCCTCCGACGGCGACCGTGGTGGTGCCTTGGTGTTGGAGTGCGCGTGTGGGGGCCGGGGTGCGGTCTGGCCAGGTCAATTCCGAGGTTGCCGGGGCTGGAATTGTGCTGAGCCGTGTGTTTAGCGACATCCTCTCGGTGGGTTCTCGGTAGGAGTTGGTTCGANTTGTGAAGGTGCTTGGTGTTTGGGGCCGGAGGGGAGGGCTATAGTCTAGTATTTAGGTTTTTTTGTGTCGTTAGATGTGTGTTTGTTTTGTGTTTTTTTTGGTTAGTGTGTTTGTTTGTTTGTTTCGTTTTGTGTTTCTGTTTTTGATCTCCCGTGTGGGAGTTTGTTTTCTCCACTTGTGGGAGTTTGTTATCTTCCCTTGTGGGAGTTTGTTATCTTCCCTTGTGGGAGTTTTTTTCGTTTTGTTCTAGTGTTTCTAGTTAGGGTGGGCTTGTTTAGCCTTTTAGGCTACAGTCGTCTCGACTCGTACGCCTCTCAATTTCAATCTTTAGTTGTTCTTTTCGGTCATTTGATCGCTTGTGTTTATCCGTGTCATTATTAATAGAATCTGCCGTTTGGAAAAAAAAAAACTAAAAAAGTTGTCACTTTTGGGAGGGAAATTTCTCAAAAAATCCTACTAGTGTGGTTTTGAAATAATTTTTAATACAATGACCAAATTTGTCATTTTATTGAAATCAAATAATCAATAAATAATAACTTTTGACTTGGAACAATTCACCGACCGTCATAAACATCTCTCTCTCTCTCTCTCTCTCTCTCTCTCTCTCTCTCTCTCACACACACACACACCTAGATAGATACAAATACAAATATATAAAACAATTCCGATAGACGTGCTTATTTTCTGTCTCTCTTGCTTGCCTGAGCTGAGCTTCATAATTTGTTCTTTTCACAGGCCTTTCTTGCTTTGTCTTTCGCTGGATTATCCATCATTTTCGGCCTTTTTTTTTTCAAGAATTAGTCAAAAAGGTGAGCCATTTTTTGTAATTTTCTCTTCTTGAACAGGTTTTCTTCTTCCCCTTTTTTCCCACTGTATTAAAATTTATTAATTATTTTTTTTTTATTTGTTTCTCTCATTTGGGCATCCGTGGACTGAAAAAAGGGTGATCTTTATTAGTGAGAGAAAATCACGCCATTTTTACGAGTGCCCGTCAGCTTTTTCTCTGCAGCTGGTAAACCCCTTTTTACTCGCGTCTGATCTGAGGTATGCACTGAGTTCTTTCTTTGTTTTTTCTTGAATGTTTTCAAAGTTTAATTCTTGAATCTTGCAGATAGCTTCTTGAATTTTTAGATTAAAAAAGTTGCTTGATTGATTTATATCTGTTTATTTTTTATGTTTTTGTGCTTGAATTAATTGTTGATTCATCGAATTTCTGCTTCTTAGTGTGGGGGCTGGAATTTTTTGGTGCATCCCCTTAATTTTCAGGCTTCATTAATTTTTCCCACATGTTTTCTGAGTCATTTTCTACTGATATATTCTGGTGGTAGGGCTACTGCCTTTTCTTTCAGTGCACAATAAATAAGTCTTTTTTTTTTCTTAATTCTTTTTTTTCCCTTTAAACTCTTCATTAAGGGAAATATATGGGCTTTATATATGTAATCCGATTGATTTGTTCTTGTTCCTTCAGATAGTTGAAGCTTACCTCTTTGAAAGAGAGAAGATATAATCAAATCACACACACAGAGACACACACACACAGAGAGAGAACCGCGTGATCATATAGCTGGTTTTTAGGAGGTTACAGTTTGGCTAATTTCAAGATTTGATTTACTTATAATATTAATCTATTATTTAGTTTACTTGTTTATTTTTTGTGTGGGGTTACTTGTGTTTGCATATGCTAAGTGGCCCCTTGTTACAGATTTTGTGGTATCATACTCATTTATTGACCTGATAGCTGGCCCATCTGGCCATCTTTTATGGCACAACTTAATTGGGTCCACGATTCAATGTAGACCTGGAGTAAGATGTGATGAAAAAAACTTAAAAGAGAATAAGTTATGAATATAGAGATTCTAAGTTATGGATACTAACTCTCGTGTATTGTGTGAGTTGCGGGACTATTTATTCTCGAAACAAAGCAAAAACAAGGAAATGCAATAACCGTGGGTTGCATTTTGGTGTGCTTATGGGAGAATTATTTTCGTTCAAGCCATATTCATTTCTTATGCAAATGATATGGATTTTGCTTTATGGTACTCTCAGTAATCTGTTAAGCTTTTATAATATGAATTTTAATCTCTCATTTTCTCATAATTTAGCTGATTTATGTTATATTGTGCGTCGGTTTTCTTAAAGTTGCTGATTGTGGGGCTTAGCTTATTGGCGCTAGACTTGAGTGGTTTTAAAGGTTATAATGGAATAGATGGGGTGTAATTGAAAATAAAGATTTTCAGAGCTGTGGTATGAATTTGTGCTGAATTATAATGATTAACAATTATGAATTCAAATTGTTAAGCCTACAAGTGAGTAGATTATATTTGCTGAATGATTGAGTTTCTTTTTCTTCTTTCTCCCAGTGGTGAAAATTCATTTAGTTGATCGATAAGCGAATTTTAACTGTAACCTATCTTAATTATATATATGCGTACTAAATATGATATTCATCTTAAGTTGCAGGTAGTTTGTGCTTGGGGAAATTTTGGAGCTTGCAATAATGGCATCACCCCTTGTAAGAACCAAATTTTTACCGATTATTCAGGACATGATCAAGAATTTGAATGAATTTTTCTTGTAGTAGTATTTTTTTTGTGAAAGGGCATCTAAAATAAATTGTAATTTACAATTGCTGCAAGATCTACCAAATTTGAGAAGATCGATAAAATGGCTTAGAATTATGTTTTCGTGCTGCGGTTCTTTTTTTCTTTTGTGTGCGTGTGATATAGCGTACTTTGTTTCAGATGAAGTCTAATAGAATGAAGAGGACTGAATCAAAGAAGTCTCACTCTTGGTGGTGGGACAGCCACATTAGTCCCAAGAATTCTAAGTGGCTACAAGAGAACCTTGAAGGTAAATTATTTCGTGATTCATTTTTCTTTGTTATTAAAGAACCCCAATTTATGGCGATTGTGTGTGTTTTATCGAAGTCTGATTAGGTCAACGAGTAAAATGTCAAAAGATTCGATATGCTTACCTTTATAAGCTATCCCTTATGCTTTTACATGTTGAATTACAATTACATGTAGTGATCTTAAATTTACGGTATAGAAATGCTTATAACTTGCAAATCATATATTGATGTGCAGTTATGGAGTTCTAACACAAAAATACTAAAAATAGTCAGTTGCACTATTTTTAGTTGAGGTTAAACTTTTCTTTT